GCCTGCCTCTGCCTCCCGAGTGCTGGGATTAAAGCCGTGCGCCACCACAACCTGGCCCTAAAATCTTGAAATCATATGCATATAAGCAAAATTATATGGACTAAGCTGGTTGCTTTTATATATTTAGGAGTGTCTGTGTGCTCGCGCACACAATTAAAGAAAAAAAGAACATGAATTTGAGAGAGAATGGCGGTACATGGGAGGGGTTAGAAGGAGGAAAGGGAAGGGTAAATGATATAATTTAAAAAAATAAAAAAAATGTTTAAATATGTTCAGTTTAAGAGAGGTTCACAGCAGTGAAAATAGATAATGGAATGAGATATGAGCCAAAACCTGCCTCAGAAGGGAAAGGAATCAAGACTTATTTCTAATGCCAGCACAGACAGTCATAAATCCTTCAAAAACTGAATACATTTTCCAGTGTTATACTTGTCTTCTCTTGTCTCATGACTAGGTTCATCAAACTTGCATTGGGGCCACAGGAAGCAAATGAGGCCATCAAGATTGCACAGATTTGTCCTTGGGCATCTAAATGACTTTGCATACAGTCTTTTCTAGAATCCAAATATAGTTAGAAGATCAGCATGTTGCCAGTATCAGAGTATTTTAATTTTGGGCTTATCCAGACGTAGTACAGAGTCTGAGCAGTATAGGTACTAAGTCATAGAGAACAGGATCAGTTTAATCTAAACACAGTGACTGTTTATGAGATAAGGGAAAAACAGGTTCTACTACAATAATGGTAAGCAGACTCTTGAACTTATGAATTATAATTAGGGATGGTTGAACCTGTTTGATCAAAGAGCTTGCCAATTCTTTAATCCAAAACCTAATGCTTTGTTGGAGATCTTGACACCACCAGGATCAAGATACCACTCCTGGTGACTCCAAACTGTTGGGAGGCAGCGATGATCATCACTAAACCACCAACACAGATGACTTTAAACCATTGGAATGCCAAAACCAATACTTCCGGTTCTTCAGCACTTAAAGAATTTCAGATGAAGGAAAAGTGGGGTGTATATAGTATTAAGGCTGCTTAAAATATGTTATATAAAAAGTGGTGAGGATATTCAAAGACTCAGGTTACAGATTATACAGACAACTTCATTGTTGGAATTAGGATCATACACAGCTTGAGAGAATGGACAAGGACAAGATGGAGCTCTTGAAGGTCATGAGTATACGTTGGATCAAAACTGATAAGGTACTTGATTTCCTGAAACCCATGCTGTGATCCTGGTAGGCAAGTCACCTACTCCCCTGAGTCTGTTTTTTGCCTCTATAGAAGTAGAAAATGATGATATCTGTCCTGCTGACTTCACAGGATGTCATAAAACTCCACTGAGCTAATATATAATGAAGCAAAATAAGAAGTTCTAAAAAAAAAAGTGTAGGATTGCAGCTATGATACCAGCATAGACAATCATAAATAAAAAAGAAAGCATTGGGCCAGTATGTAAATCAAATGACTGGAGGAAGAAATAAATACATAATTGATATCATGTGAGTCATGGAAACTGATATACGAGTTTAAGTGAAAACTGATAAGCAAGATGCATCTTCTCAGTAGTTGAAAAGGCTTAATGAGAGGTTGGGTTTTTAGAGGCTTTAAGGAAGGAAAGGAGACAACTGCGTGCAGGGAGAAAAGAGGGCACATCAGATTAACTGAAACTCGGGAGACATTGCATGTACTAACCCAGAAATAAGGAAGAGATGGCTGGATGAATGGAGGGAGGGGCACTGGGCAATAGAAGGCTGTGTGCCAGTAGCAACAGAGAGTTGCTGTTGAAACTCAATCTAATTTAAACTCCATAGACCACCCAATGAAGTCAGGATGGTTTGCTAAGCAGGAAACTGAGCTTGGAGAGCCTATATAGATCAAGGCTACATACTGGTAGACTGAACCTAGATTAAAAACTGATTTTTCTGAAACCAACATTTATGTTCTCCCTCCTTTGTCACAGGTCAAGATTTACAAAGAGCTGGGCCCCAGACGTTCCAGAGCTCACAGAGGTGGAGTCATGGAATGGTCTGGACAATGGGTAAAGACCTCCTCCTCTAAACTTCCTGTTGGTGTTTTGTTTTCATATAATGTTTATGTTTGTTTACTGATGTGGTTGTGTGTATGTGGGAGGGGGCATGTGTCTACACTGCATTGTGGAAGTTAAAGGACAGCTTGTGAGAGTCGGGTCTCTCCATCCACTGTGTGTCTCTGGGATGGAACTCAGGATGTCAGGCTTGGTGGCAGGCACCTTTACCTGCCGAGCCATCTCATCAACTTATTTACTTGTTAAGACAAGGTCTCATATAGCCCAGGCTGGCCTTGAATTTGCTTTGTAGCCAAGGATGATCTGGACCTTCTAATCCTCCTACCTACAACTCTCATCTGCTAAGATTACAGCTGTGTACCAACATGTCCTGTTCATGTGCTGCTACAGACTGAACCCAGGAACTCCTGCAAGCTACCCAAGCACTCTACTGAGCTATATCCCTTGCCCCTCGTTTTTATTTTTAATGACCCAATTTACTTCAAATTACTTTAGTATGTTTATCTCCTAAATCATTAAACTTCTTTCTCATAATTCAACAAAAAGGAGATGAAGATAATTGCACCCAGGTTAGCCTGTCTTTAAAAAAAATTTATTTTATTTTAAATGTTGTGTCTGTGTATGGGTCTTTGCATGTGAGTGCAGGTGTCTGAGGAGAACAGAGACGTCAGATCCCTCCTGGAGCTGCAATCATATGTGGTTGTGAGTCCTCCCTCATGGGTGCTGAGGGGGGACCTAACGTGGGCCCTGTGGAAGAACAGTATATACTTTTACCCACTGAGCCATTGCTCCAGCCTCTAATTCGTCTTTTTAAGTACACAAGAAATATCCTCTTAGCTATCCCCTTCTTCTCCACCCAAACCACCTCCTCTGTAAATAAACACATTCCCGGCACCAGAGTTGCAGCATGACCAGAATTACGGGATAATTAACAATAGGAAATGATATTGCAAATACAGCTGAGGGCACAATGCACACAAGAGCTTTGTCAAGTTCTTCTTATGAAACTTCCTGTTACAAACATCCTCTCAAAACTGGGACGTGCTGCCTGCCATTTTCCAAAGCACACCATCAGGGAGAAGTAGAGAGCCCTGCTTCTCATTATAATTAATTGGCCATAATAGGAACGTCAAACAATTGGAATCATGATGTAAGTTATGACATGTGCTTCCTTTGATGAAATCTTCCCTGAGCTACAGGAAATAGGTCAATAAGGAAGTATATGTGCACCAGACACACAAGATGGACTGAAAAGACCAGTTGCAATTTCTCCACTAATAAGTTAGCCCTGCTGTATCCCTACCAGGTGAGACCTCAAAGAATTAAGAATTTGTTGCCAAGGAAAATAAGGTCACTTGGGACCTAAAACCCAAGTCTCAAAAGACATAAGACTATGGGGGTGGAGAGATGGTTTGGTGGTTAAGAGTACTGACTGTTCTTCCAGAGGACCTGGGTTCAATTCCCAGCACCTGTTTGGTAGTTCATACTGAATACTGTAAGGCCTTGATTGGAAGGATTTGATTTCATGCCCTATATCCTCTGGAACTTAATTAGGAAGCTGTTGGTGGTTCTAACTTTTTGCACTAAATGCTATTTTGAAGTTATATAAAATCTGCAATGTAAGTGTGTACATTTTGATGCTCACATTAAACCGACAGCCTGGAGTTTCTGGATGTAGAAAATAGAGTATAAAAAGCTAGAACACTGATAAATTCTTACAAAAGTCAAAGACTTTGGAGAAAAGGTAGTAATAATAAACATCCCACCCCTGGGACCCCCTCAAATTGCAATAATGATGCGGTGTTTGGGAAGCCTGAGATGGAGGTAACAGATTAGAGTTTGGGGTCCTATGCTAATTCAGATCCCCCCCCCAAAACCTTGAGATTAAGAGAAAGTGGTTTACTAAGGAAACACTAAGAGAATAGGAAACACATAAGGGAGAGGAAATCACTCATGTAAGGTCCAGTAAAGTCCTGTAGAAGGTAGCTTTTATTTGATCCTGTGGGCACACCTATGTGAGACCCCAATCTTGTTCCAACAGCAGGCAGGAAGCTGGGCATCCAGCATCTAACCTCCACTGGAGGAGAGTAACTGCAAGCAATCGCAGTTATCTGAACATTTGCACAAAGGGTTCTGTTTGTGCCAAGTGGTTCCATTTGAGAGCAATTCTCAAACAAGAGCTGCAGTTCAGACTACTAGAAGGAAACATTCTCTAGTGAAGAAAGGGGTTCTCACCTAACACAGAGAGGACACACTCAAGAAAATCTGGGTAGAGTGCCAACAGTGTCTGCTACAGGTTACTCAACCTTAGGCTTGCAAGTTGGGGACTTGCATGATACTGGTGGTGGAATTTGTCCAAAAATAATTAAGAGGTTTTATGATCTCCATGAACAGAATAAGTTATTTCATTCTAGACTTGATATGATGTCAACAGTCGTTTCCTTTTTTTCTTGCACAGCTAAGCTACATCTCACACCAGGTCACTGGGGCCCAAGCTACAAAAATAAACTAGAAATAGTCTTTGTGTATGCTGAGGAGAATTAACACAAATCTGTCCAACATTCTCCTGCATAAGAGTTAACGAGTGCTCTGGCTCACTAGTAATTTGGAGGCTTTGATGCTTGCTTTCAAATGGATTGCTGTAAATGAATTACAATAATTATAGATTCAAGAGTAATTGAATGATTTATCAACATTTTAGCCTATCCAACAACCAGCAGTATACAACAAATATATTCTTGCAACACAGCTGATATTTTGTAGAAAAGTGCAAAAAAACTGGAAACATATTAAAAGAAATATTAACTAGCCTGTTCTTCACAAGATGTCTGAACAAATATATACAGTAAAACATATTGGATAGTTATTTGTAATTAGACATGGACATTTAAACAATAAGGTAGTTAAAAATAGATGCTGGAACATTCTACTTGATGGAAATAATTTTTACCAGATAGCTTCAGGAGTGAGAATCTTATCTATGTGACTGAAAAATCAATTATAGTTAGTAAAAATTTTGTCTTTTCATTATTGTTCATTCTGTGAGAGTCACATAAAACAAATTTATGAACAGCTGAGATGGCTCAGCTGATAAAGGTGTTTGCCAAAGAGCCTGCTGACCTGAGTTTAATCCCTAGCAGACACTTGGTGGAAGGAGAGAACTGATTCCTGAAGATTGGCCTTTGTCCTCCCCATGCACTTCATGAAATGTGGGCACACAGGCACACACTATACACAAAGACTAGACACATGCACATGCAGATAATAGATAAATGTAATTTTAAAAATATAAAGCAAATATATTAGTCACTTAGTCATTTCTAAGCATAAATAAGACTATTTATGGATTATCTTTCTTTGTTCTCAGAGTCCCCTAAGATATTAGAATATGATTTTAAATTATAAAGATTATTTGTAAAAAGAGGTCTTACAGTGTCACTGTGCTGGGCATGGTAGAACATGCCTTTAATCCAGGGATAGAGGTAGGCAGATCTTGGTGAGTTCAAGTCCAAACAAGTCTATATAACAAGTTCCCAGCCAGCCAAAGCTACACAGTGAGACCCTGTCTCAAAAACAAACAAACAAAACAAAACAAAAAACAAAAGATATCACTGTGAACTAGTGACTTTTTGCTTAAGTCTATTTTACTTTTTTTTTTTTCAAAAATTACAACAAAAATACAGAACAGATGGCAAAAATAGCTAGTGTAGGGGCTGGAGAGATGGCTCACTGGTTAAGACCACTACTTGCTGCTCTTCCAGAGGACTTTGGTTCAATTCCCGCATTCTAAATGGGGGCTCATAACCAATAATTCCATTTCATGGGGTCCAATGCCTTCTGCAGACACCAGGCAGGCAAGTGATGCACAAACATGGAGGCAAAACACTCCTACACACAAAAGCAAAAATGATAATATTTTTAAAAAGCAAGTATAGCACTTGATGTATTGTGCATATATCTACATCCATGAAGTGCCAAAGGTTTAGAATAATTTAAGCACCTTGAGTCAGTCAGTGTTGCCTCACTATGACAAACACCTGAGAGATCAACTTACAAAGAAGTTTACATTGTGTCACCGTTTTGGAGTCTGCAAAGCATTCTTTCTGTTATAAGACATTATGCGGATGGTGTCACTGTTTTCAGCCTCTAGTGGAGGCAGCCCAATTATGACGGGAGCACAGGGCAGAACAAAGCCTTCTCCCTGCTTTTGGGGAGTGACCAGAGAAAGGAGCTGGACCATTACCTCCCAGGGCACCTTTTCAGCGACTGGAATATCTCTCAACAGGCTCAATTCTTAAAGGCTCTATTATTTCCCAACAGCATCAACCAAGAGGTAAAGACTAATACATGAAACTCTAGGGGAACATTGAAAATCTAAAGTACAGGGCTGGAGAGATTACTCAGTGGTTAAGGGCACTTGCTACTCTTGTAGAGGACCTGGATTTGGTTCCCAGTACCCACACTGTGGTTCACAACTGCAGGTAGCTAGACTCAGGGGATCCAATACTGTCTCCTGACCTCTGTGTCTCTAGGCACATACATGGTGTACATATTTACATGCAGGCAAAATGCCTATATACTACAAATAAAGTAAAAATCAAATCTAATAGAGCTGCTGAAAAGGCTTCTTGTCTAAATATCATCCACAGAGCTGGATTGCTCCGTGGGCAGGAAGACAGAGAGGTTGAGACTCAGAACAAGGAGGAGATGACCAGACTGAGGGCATGGCAGTGATGGCAAAGTCCCCAGGGGCAGGGAAGCTTGACAGTAGAACTTGTCAATTATGACCCGTGAAAATCTTTAACCTGAGGGCTAAAGAGATGGATTAGTGGTTAAGAGCACTTGTTGCTCTTCAGAGGACCTGAGTTCAGTTCCCAGTACCCAATGCATGGCTACAAATGTCTGTTCCAATAGATCTGATACCTTCTGGTTCACATATAAACATTCAGGCAAAACACTTATGTATAGATAAAATAAAACAAATTTTTTTTTTAAAGAAACCCTTTAATCTGGGCTGGGGAGATGACTCAGGTGGTCATATAAGGACATGAGTTTGGATCCCCAGCATCTACATAGTAGCTGGGCATGGCAAAGCACATCATGACTCCCAGTGCTGGGGGCAGAGACAGGCAGACATTCCCCAGAGCTTACTGGCCAGTTAGTCTGCCAGCTAGAGACTCTATTTCAAAAAATAAGGCAGAGAGCAACTTAGGAAGACTCCTGACATTGACCTCTGGCCTACACAACACACACACACACACACACACACACACACACACACACACACACACACACACACGCCTACAAGTGTTCATGTGCGCCTCACATGCAGACATGCAGATACACACAAACATGTACACATATACCACATGTTCTTATTTGCTTTCTGTTGCTGTGATTGACACCATAATTAAAAGAAACTTGGCGAAGAAAAAGGTTTATTTGGCTAACAAGTTATAGTCCATCATCCAGGGAAGCCAAGGGAGGAGGTGAGACCTTGGAGTTACATACTGGCCTGCTTCCCCCTAGTTTACTTAGCTACCTTTCTTATACAGGCCAGGCCCACCTGCATAGGCATGGTACCACCCACAGTGATGGGCCTTCCCACATCAATCATTGATTTTAAAAAATGCCCCACAGACACACTCATGGGCCAATCCAATGGAGGCAATTCCTCAGTTGAGTTTCTACTTTCCAAGTGTGTCAAAGAACTGGAAACTGAAATTAACTATGACATCCCACACACTACATTTAATCCCTATCACAATCATCTACATGCCAGCCATGTCCAGTCTCACAATCAAAGAACATAGGAGAGAAAAGCCAGTTTGGCTCAGAACAGAATACAGATGAAGGAGGCCTCCGCAGGAAGACCAGAAGATAACTTGAACCACACAGAGATGCCAGCTGATGAAGGACTCCATTTGTCACTAAGATTAGAGGCAGAATTACAGCAGCTTCCTCAAAGAGAGATCAGAGCTGGGATGGGGACACAAAAGTTCATTAGGACACGTCCACTGGCTCCTTTAATTAGAGTGTCAGTTAATGACAGAGCCTCATTGTGGTTCATCCGAATCTGGGTGGAGGTTTCTCACCATCCCCTTTGAAAGAGGACGAAGGAAAAAGCACGACCATCAAAGCAGGGCGACGAAGGTCGGAGGCCCAGCCACTGCCATTTTACCTGTGAAAAATGGGACAGTAGTTCACCTGTAAAGTACTTGCCATGATGTCTATTTATGACAAATATCACAGGCTGAGCACAGGCAGCTAATGATTGCTTTTATTTATAACCCTGAAGGAAGAAAAGACGAGAGGGAGAGAGAAGAAAAAATGGCTGCCAAGAGCGACAACCCTTACGCAGGGGACTAAAGTGTCAGCTCATTTAATAGATTAAAAATAACTTGGACTTACGATGTGCTCACCAACTATTATCACAGTCTCTTTAAAGATATTTTAGAATGACTTATTGTACTATGTTATGTGTATGAGTGTTTTACCTGCATGTATCCCCCTCCTGTGTACTACATGGGTGACTGGAGCCCAAAGAAGTCAGAAGAGGGCATCAGATCCCAGAGCTCCTGGGACAGTAGTTATAACAGTTGAGAGCTGCCATGTGGGTTCTGGGAATCGAACCCAGGTCCTCTGGAAGAACAACACGTACTCATAGCAGTTGAGCCAACTCTCTAGCCCTCATCACAGTCTTTGAAAAATGCATCCACCACAGATGGGTACAGAGACATACATACAAGCAAAGCACTTATAGACATAAAATGAAATAAAAATAATTAAAAAAAAACATTTATTTTTAGTGTGTTTGTGTGTGTGTGTTCTTATATGTGTACATGAATAAGGGTGCTGGAAAAGGCCAGAAGAGGGTGTCAGATTCTGTGGAACTGAAGTTACAGATGGTTGTAAGCTGCCATGTGGGTGCTGGTATCGAACCCCAGTCCTTTAGAAGAGCAGCCAGTGCTTTTAACTGCTGAACCATCACTTTAGCCCTTAGCCAAATCTTTTGAGGCAGAAACTTTTTACAGAATCTACTAGGAGCATGAATGACAGTACTGAGTCATTACATAAGCCACTTCACTAAAAATTAGCCATTGTATTATTTGAAAAACAACCTTTGTTATTGTCCCCCCCATTAAAAACAAACAACAAAAACCACAAATAAATAAACAAATAGGATTAAGTATCTTCAACTCCTTATGCAGAATACTACTTCTGACCTCTTTGCCAAGCATATTTCCACCCACTTTTCTAGCTAAAAACCTTGTTTTCCTCCTTGCTCCTTTGTCTTGCAAGGGTTCATTAAAATCTCAGAGACCGGTTTGAGGTTGCAGAAAGGGTATTAAAACCACATGATTGTGTGGCAAGAAAAGTGACCTTTGAAGTTCCTGTTTGACTAAATTTCTGACAAGGAAGGAGGAAATGCAGTGTCTTGTATCTTGCTGGTCCGATTTGCTGATGTCTGGTGATTTGCCACCAGGAAATTGTTACATTGTTCTTTGGAACCTGGACTCTCTGTAGTAACCCAAACAATGGCCTCTCGTGTGAGCCTTTGGAATGAGTGTCAGCGCCCAGCTTCCAGATGAAAGAAAGTGGGCCTGAGCAGGCCCTGAAGAGTCTGAGACTCTTCAGAAACCAGACTTCCTTTTGCAGCAAAGAACCAGAAAGCTAGAATTTCCATACCGCTGGTAAAAAACAATGACAGTTAGTGGTAACAGTTGCGTATGCTCATCTCCATACTGGTATCATTTTCATATTCTCCCTAATGGTTTATTTTGGCCCACTTTCATAAAATATATATATACGATCACGGCAGGTATTCACTCCACACACCGCCCCCCACCCCCCCAAAAAAGAAATATTTCTTGTTTTAAATTTAGATCAGAAGACAACTTTTGGGAGTCTCTTCTCTCCTGCCACCATGTGGGTAGAACTCAGATTGTCAGGCCTGGTGGCAGGTGTCTCACAGGCCCCGTAAGCAAATAAATAAATGTAAGCAAAATTTTTAAAAAATGAGTAAGAGGCTGGATACAATTCCATCCAATGGCTCACAGAGTTCACTGGATAGGTGTCCTATACAGGGCAGTTAGGGTGGATATTTTTACCCCCTCTGGCCTGGTGTCCACTAGAGATCCACGCAATTGACCGTGGTTGTCCAAGAGGAACACAGCTCACTGAACCACGGTGTCGGGGACAGCCACTAGGGCAGCAGTCGAATCTGCCCCCTGTGTGGGCACTGTGGGGGCTGGGGGGACCAGCAGTGGCCAGCAGCCCTTATTCCTGCCCTGAATGGCTTTGGTGATCGAAAGCAAGGGAGCGGGGGTGGAGGGTGGGGGCGGGTGGGTGGGGGGGCTGCTCAGAGCGGCTCAAGGGCCAATTGCCCATGTCAGGCTACTCAAGGCTACTCAATGAGAGCATTTTATATGCCGACCTTCAAAAGTCAGCCTCTCTCTTCCTTTGGCAGAGATTGTGGGCCAGTCGCTGCTGTGTCTGGCTGTCAGAGTTCTCCCACTATTACCTCTCCTGGGATGATCACTCGCAGACATAGAGCAGGGTGGAGATTAAGAGCCGGCCCTGATCCAGTCCTCCTCTTTGCCCAGACCCTTACATCCTGTTCCCAACTCAGCTGCCCAAGCAATTGCGTAGACAAGGAACTCAGATTGCTCCACTGGCCCTTCAATGTCCCCTTCACACTGCAGTGGCCAGAGCACCCCAGCCTCAGTCTGCAGCTCTCAGAGCTCGGCACAATCATTCTCACTGTTTTCTCTACCTGGAAGGCTCATCCCCTGGTGCGAATGTACACGGGTTGAATGGGTGCTTCCTTTACCTCCCAGATTCAGCTCACATCCTATACGCCCTGCCCATGTTATGAAGTTTCAGGTCCCAAACTTATTTTTGCCTCATTCTTTGCCTCTTTTGTCTTCATCCATTGTACTTACCACCTGTGGACACCATTTGCAAACCAACACTAACAAAACAAATTCTCTTTAGACCAAGCTGGTCTTGAACTCAGAGATCTGACTGCTTCTGCCTTCCAAATATGGGCATTAAAGGCATACACCACCACCACCCGGCTACAAAAAAAAAAAAAAAAAAAAAAATTCCCAACTAGGAGTTTGGAAAGATACCTCGTCCATTAAGAGTACTCACTGCTCTTCCAGAGAACCCGAGTTCAGTTCCCATCACTCACATCACCTGTAACTCCAGTTTCAGGAGATCTGATACCCATTGGCCTCTGCACCAACACGGTGCATATAAACTTAGGTGGGTGCACACACATTAAAATAAATAAACTGGGTGGTTGTGGTGCATGCCTTTAATCCGAGCACTCAGGAGGCAGATGCAGGTGGATCTCTGTGAGTTTGAGGCCAGCCTGGTCTACCGAGTGAGTTCCAGGATAACCAGGGCTACACAGACAAACCTTGTCTCAAAGAAACTAAACTACAATAAAAGTGAATACATTTTAGAAATGTTGCAAAACTCTGGTTTGCTTTTGCTTGTTTGGGCAACCATACTTACCTGCAGTCCTCAAGCAAGGAGTGTTTCTCAGACACTCACAGAAACTTTATCTTTTCTCTAAGATACTTGAAACTGAGGCCTGCTTCTGAGCACGCAGGAAGTAACCGCTTGATTTGTTTGACTTTGTCTCCAGAGGTTCCGGTCACCTCTGTCTTCTCAAGAGGAGTTTACTGCTCCTCTGCCAGAATTAGTCAGGTCACCAGGGCCTGGGAGGCTGTAACAAGCAGAGATGACACAACCTACCTGGCAGGAACAAGGATATTCTAAAGAAAGACTTAAAAGTCTCTCCCTTCCAAGATCAGACGATTGAAACGTGGGCATCCTCCTGACCTGGAACTTCTCAGGAGTGCCCTGTGCTGGGAGAAGGAAAAGGAAGAAACCCGTGCCAGCCAGAGGAGGAACTGGTCTCAGGGGAGAGATTCACAGAGTGCTGATAACTTGGCAGAGCATTTTGACCAAGACTGCTTACCTGCTGCAGTTACTCTGTTACTCTGACCCTCTGCTGAGACCCAAGCCTTGTGTCAGGACCCTGAAGATGGACTGGTGGGGAGTGATACAGAAGGGTGTGTGTGTGTGTGTGTGTGTGTGTGGTGGCAGGGGGATCAACAGATATCTGAAGTGTAACTCTAATTAATCTTATCAATAAAAACCAGGAGTCAGATATCAGGGTAAAAGATGAAATATCAGAGAATCGAGGGAGCAGCCACGTCACTTCCTGTCTCTCCGATCCTCCAACCAAAAGGGTGAGATCCCGTCTTTGCCCCACTTTATCACTTCCTGTCTCTGCCCTGAATTATTACTTCCTGTCTCCTGTCTGTCCAGCCCTCCCAACCTCTGTGGTTAACTAGTGGCCAGCTCTGCCCTCTGACTCCAAGCAAACTTTATTTGTCAGAATACAAACAAAATATCACACAACAGGTGTCTTTGCCCCTCTTCCCAATATGGCCACATTGAATGAATTGGTTTCTGCTTTTCACCGTCACTCGTTCTATTGACTTATTAAGGGTGGTGGTTGCGCTTGGCTTATCTTGTAAGGTGGTCTGACAAATTATGAGGACGGTGTAAAATTTCTTTCCAGGAGACAGGCCCCTCCTCAGGCTCATGTTGGGATTCATCCGTGCAGGTTAGTTTTAACTGTCAACCCGAGACAATCTAGAATCAAGTGAGAAGAGTCTTAATGGGGAATTATCCAGATCAGGTTGGTCTCTGGGCATGGTTGTGGGGGAGTGCCTTGCTTATTAATTGAGATGGGAAGACCTGAATGTGGGCAGCACCATTTCATAGGCTAGGCCCTGATTGCAGAAGAATAGAGAAAGCTAGCTGAGTAGCAAGCAAGCAAGCAAGCAAGCAAGCAGGCAAGCAAGCAAGCAAGCAGGCTGTGCGTATTCTCTCTCTGCCCATGACTGTGGATGTGACGTGACCAGCTGCCTCAAGCTCCTGCTGCTACACCATCCCTGCTGTGGCGGACTGTACATGGAATCCTAAGCCAAGTCAACCCTTTCCTCTCTTGAGCTGCTTTTTGTCAAAGTATTTGTCACAGCAACAGAAATGAAACTAGAACATCGTGCTTAAATCCGGCACCCAATTCCCCTCTGTGCTGTTTCTCTTCATACCCCCGTGTTCCTCTCTTACAGGCCTCTCCTGCCTGCCTTTTCATGCGCTGAAATGATGGTTAATCTTTTTTAATGAAAAGAGGGTTAATCTGGATTATTGACTTAACACGCTCTAGTATTACCATGAAGCAAGCTCTGAATTATCTAGATAGGTTAATTGACAGGGGGAGAAGGCCAAGAAAACCTGGGGCTTCTGGAACATTCTCTTCTTCAGGGCAGTCATCTATCCTGACTAGTGAGAATGGATTAGTAAACATGCCACCACCAGACTAGTGCACTGATTCGGACAACCAAGAGATGTGCTCAGTGTCTCCCACAGCTCCCCAGCAGGATTGTGCACTTTGCCCTGGTGAGCGGTTGGCCTGGTTACGGGCCTTTGTTGGGTCTTTCTTCTCCACCCCACTCCCTACCTCTTGCTGCTTTGGGAGTATTTCCCAAAGGTATCTCAAAAATAAACCTTTGCACTCTTGTCCTTATCTTAGAGTATTTTAGGATTTGAAATGCCAGGTCATGTGGTAACTCTATTTTTAACTTTTTGAGAAACTTCAGAACTGCTTTCCAAAGTGGCTGCATCATTTCCCAGTCCCATTAGCAATGAGAGTTCCAATTTCTCCACATTCTCATCAATACTCATTATTGTTGGTTTTTTAAGTATAGCCATCTTAGGGAGCAAGGCGTGTTATCTCATTGTAGTTTTGATTTTTATTTTTCTAAGAACTAAAGATGTTTAACATATTTTCATTTGTTTATTTTCATTGGAGAAATACCTATTTGAACTCTTATTTTATTTCATGGTTTTAGTTTTAATTTTTTTATTTTATGGATAGGAATGTTTTGCTTACATATAGGTATGAGCACCACATGCATGCCCCATACTTTCAGAGGTCAGAAGAGGACATCAGATCCCTTGGAACAGGACTTACTGATGGTTGTGAGCCACCATGATGTATAATGAGCAAGACCTAGCATGTGGAAGATCCTGAGTTAGATCTTCCCCACCATAAAAAATGATAAAAATACTACTTATAATAATAATAATTTAAATACCAGCCCAACATAATTTTTAATGACTATGCAGCAGTCCATGATAGGGGCATTATACTATTTCCATGCTGACAAACCATGCTGGTTTCTTTTTACATTTTTTTCTGCTGTCATAAACAATAGTCTAAGTAATACAACTGTACAGAACTCATAAACTTAGGTATTCTTATATTATTGTTTCCAAAGGGGAAATGTAGTCAATGGACATTTAAAATGTAAGTGGATATTTCCAGGTTATTGTCTCAAATTGCTGCCCCAACTTCCATTCCCGAAACAAGATCATGATATTGTTTACACAATACAATTGCATCCTAAGCCTAATTACATTCAGAGTTCTTTGGATAGTAAGTATACAATTGATTGTCTGGGAGTTAAACACTTTTCTACATACTTATGTACTGGAAAAACAAAATGTACATAATGTTCAGAAAATATTTTTGATGACTATTCTTTTCAAGTGTCTCAATTTTTTTTTCTCAAAAGACTTTATGACATACTGGAACAGTTATAATGGAAAAGATGGTAAAAATCAATGTTGGCAAGCATGTGGAGCAGTAAGAACTCATACAAATGATAGAACTGAACGATGCTCCAGGGATTTTAGAAAATGATTGAACAGAATTTTCTGAAACTGAATATCTGAGCCAACCATTCAACTTTTAAACATACTCAACAGAATTCCTTTTTTAAAAAGATTTATTTATTTATTATGTATACAATGTTCTGTCTGCATATATTCCTACACCCCAGAAGAGGGAACCAGATCTCATCATAGATGGTTGTGAGCCACCATGCGGTTTGCTGGGAATTGAACTCAGGACCTCTGGAAGAGCAGACAGTGCTCTTAACCTCTCAGCCATCTCTCCAGCCCATCAATAGAATTCTTGACATGTTGTCATGTACTAAAATATACTTAGGTGTTTGTGGCAGCAGTATTTATGTTAGCCCATCTGGGCTGAGGACACAGTGCCCAAATGTATGGCATGTTGGCATGCTGAATCCTTCAAGCCGAAGAAGATGAACTTGGCTCAGAAGCAAGATTCCTTCAACTGCCCTCCTGTCCCTGGAAGTCTACACAGATAAAGAGACAATGACTAGGAGATGGCAGGGGTTCTCAGAGCACTGGCCATAGTGTCGCTTTTGGGGTGTGGGAAGCTGGCTTCCAGTAGTGACATGAGAGGTGATAGAATAGTTAAGAGGCAGGGTTTCACAGGAGCGCAGATCCCTGGATGCTGTCCTTGGAGAAGATCAATGCTGGTCTCCTGGCAGGCGTTAGTTCTCCTTAGAGGGAGTTGTAAAAGAGTGTGACTTTTCCCTGGATCTCTCTAATTTCCTGTTATGCCATGTGACTGTTCCCTTCTACTCAGTTCCCACCTGTGATACCCATTCTCCCTGAGGTTCTCCCCGAAAGCCAAATGGCTGGGGCCATCTAATCTATCCTGGGTGGCCAGCCTCCAACACTAAGCTACACAAACTTGTTTCTTTCTTACACATTTCCCAGACTAGGCATTTTGTTTCTGTAACTGCAAATGGATTAATAAAACAACTAGATGTGTGAATTTTTGAGCATGACAGCAGTTCTTTTATAATTGAATCATATCTCTGCATGTACACTACACCTTAATACAAGGTTATTGAAAGGGAAAGCAGTGAATAGTTCTGCCTCTGGTTTCAGACATTTTCTAAAAACTTTGTATCTTTAAACTTTATTGCTTTACATTAATAGCAAAATAGCGATTCCCTCTACTCTTGCCTATGGTAGCATGCACTAAACCCACAAAAGTGACATAAGAGCTCGGGCTTGTTCTAAACATGTTCCCTCCAGTTGACAGCAAGATTCCTTCTAGGTGATCTTACTGTGGCATTACCTCGTTAAATACCTGCCCTGATGATATCAAAGTCTGCGTTCCAAAGCAGAAACTGAGCTAAGACCTGGACCAGAGGCTCTTTCCTTACACTGCCTGAATCCTAGGCGTCAGATCCCTGTTCCAGCAATCCTTGCACTGCCCGAATCTGAGATGTTAGATCCCTGTTCCAGCAATCCTTATACTGCCTGAATCTGAGGCATCAGATTCCTGTTCCAGCAATCCTTGCACTGCCTGAATCTGAGGCATCAGATTCCTGTTCCAGCAATCCTTACACTGCCTGAATCTGAGATGTCAGATCCCTGGTCCAGCGATCATCTGTTGCCGTCAGCCAAGGCTTCCTCCATGTGGCTGCTCTGTGCCTTCATTCCACACCACTTTCTCACCCTGGATGACTGAATCGGTGCAGGCATTTGCCCACATAGCCACATTCACCTTCCAGCTCCACTGTTTGCCAGGCCGTGAAAGTAGGGAAGCCAATCACACATTCAAGTCACAGACACTGAGCTGTCTCTAAAATTTGGCTGAAAACTTCCAGCTGCTCTGTCATACCCTAAGGGTACTGGAAATTTGAATGTGAACCTCTTCAAGTGGCTCTTTTTTTTTTTTTTTTTAAAAAAAAAACAAACATACAAAAACAGCTTTAGTGCTGGAGAGATGGCTCGTTGGTTAAGAGCACTCATTGCTCTTCTGAAGGACCAGAGTCAGTTCCCAGAACCCACATGGGCAGCTCACAATCCATGAGTCAGTTCTGGAGGACCTGACTCTTATTTTGACCTCCAACAGGCCCTGCAAGCACACAGAGCACTTACATACATCAGGCAAAACATTAATTGTCTTAGGGTTCTATTGGTGTGAAGAGACACCGTGGCCACAGGAACTCTTACAAAACAAAACATTCAATTGAAGCTTGTATACAGGTTTAGAGGTTTAGTCCATTGTTGTCATGGTGGGAAGCATGGCGGCACACAGGAAGACATGGTGCTGGAGAAGGAGGTTCTAGAGAAGACTTCTACATCTGAACTGGCAGGCAGCAGGGAGAGAGAATGACACTGGGCCTGGCTTGAGCTTCTGAAACCTCAAACCGCTCCCCTCCCCCAACACACACACTTCCTCCAACAAGGCCATACCTCCAATAATGCCACTCCCTATGAGTCTGTGGGGGCCATTTTCATACCACACTCATACTCATCATTTGTTTTATTTTGTCTCACTGTGTCGCCTGGCTGACCTGGAACTTGCTAAACAGACCATGCTGTGATGGTTACAATAAACAGCACTGGTGGTGGCACTGGTTACACAGGCCATGGCCACGACTACCAGAGTTATAAAGAGCTTTATTAGAAAGAAAGAGGGGATTGGAGGGAGGAGAGCCAGGCCTGGACAGAAAGGAGGATGGCAGGAGCAGAGAGAGAACACAGAGAGAGAGTGTGGGGGTCCGTGTCCGGCTTTTTTTTTTTAATATTTATTTATTTATTATGTATACAGAAGAGGGTGCCAGATCTCATTACAGATGGTTGTGAGCCACCATGTGGTTGCTGGGAATTGAACTCAGGACCTCTGGAAGACCAGTCAGTGCTCTTAACCTCCGGGTCATCTCTCCAGCCCTCCGTGTCCAGCTTTTTAAGGCAGGGATTACGTGACCACGCAGCAGGTATGTAGTCACCAGCACCTGCTGATGATGTAAGACGAGAGACACAAAACTCCAAGCTGCACATGTGTGGTGGTATTGTGTTCCCCAAAATATTGTGTACCTTAATAAACTTACCTGGGGTCAGAGAACAGACAAGCCACTAGTTAGTCAGT